GGGTCCATCCCTCCCATGGATAGTCCGGAGGTCTGTCTGGTTCCTCACCAGATCTCCGCCCTTCCTACACTCTTTGATGTGGCCTCTTCTCTACATTTAGTTGTGGAGTTTGTTCTGCCAGTTTTGGGGTCATTTTCTGGGTTATTTACACTGATGTGGTAGTTACCTACTTTGTCCGTGGGACAAGGTGAGCTTAGGGTCTTCCTACTCTACCATTTTCCCAGCAATCCCTTGGGAAATATTTTCAATGGAAGAGGTGCAAGCAAGCATTTTGACCTTACTGTGAGATGGCATCTTGATTGGTCAGTTAGGGCCTATGGCTGTTTCAATGTGGGTTACTTAATAAGCCTTTTTGCACCAGCTGGGCAATCACTATGGACTCTTGCCTTGTTGACGTTTTTATTGCCCAAGCCTGTTGCCTAAAAACTGAAATGCTTTAAAACTTTTACAATCCAGTGTGATTTTTACTGGAAGTGTATTGTACATACCCCTAATGAGATTAAGGAAGTTCCCCTCTACTTCTAGTTTTCAAAGTTTTGTTTGTTTGTTTTAAATCAGGAATGTATGTCATACACCTCTCCTCAACAATTAATATTATATTTTTTAAGACTGGATTTTATTAACAGATTTTTAAAATATTGATCCCTACATTCTTAGGATAGATGATACCTGATTAGGATATTTTTTATTTAGAGTTTGCAGTGCCAAGTTGTTTGCTAATTTTTAAAACATGTACTGAGGAATAATTTACATATAATAAAATTCACATATTTTAAATACGCTGTATAAGAGTTTTGACAAAGGAATACATCTGAGTAACTACCACCATGATAGAGAACAGTTTCCTTTGTCCTTTGTGCCCTTTCTGTTCAATCCCTAACCTACCCCTATTCCACTGTTGTCTCTGAGAAACAGTATTCTACTTTCTATCACTAGAGATTATATGCAATTGTGGGGGAAAAGTTTAATCAGAATATTTACTCTTCTGTATTTGGCTTCTTTAACTCAGTATGTTTCAGAGTTTGATACATGTGGTTGCATATATCGCTAATTCATTTCATTTTAATGCTCAGAGATATTTAATTAAATGGATATACCATGCTTTATCCATTCTCCTGTGGAATTAAATCTGAGTTGTTTCTAGATTTTAATTATCATGAATAATGCTATGAACATTCATATACAAGTAAGTCTTTGTAGGTATGTTTTCAGTTGTCTTGGGTAAATACCAAGGAATGAAATTAATGAGTTATATGCAAAGCATATGTTTAAATTTATAGGAACCTATGAAACTTTTTTCCAAAGTATATGTACCATCTTGCATTTCCACCAGCAGTATATGAAAGTTCCAGTGGCTGCACATATTTACCAACACATAGCATTGTCAGTCTTAAATTCTTTCAATTTTATTTGATATGTAGTGGTATCTTATTTGGCTTCAATTTGCATTTCTCTGATGACTAATGATCTTAAGTATCTTTTGATATGTTTTGGGGGCATTCATATATCTTCCTTGGTGAAGTGTCTATGAAACTCTTGCCCTTTTTTTAAATTGGGCTATCTTATTAAACTAGATAGAAGTCCTTTTTCACATACATCTTGTGAAAATTTACTTCCAGTCTGTGGCCTATCTTTTCATTCTTTTTAGCATATTTCAAAGAATAGAAATATTAAATCTTGGTAAAATCAAGTATTTTTTTTCTTTTGTGGTTAATGCTTTTAATGTCCTAAGAAATTTTTGCCAACACGAAGATCACAAAGATTTTCTCCTGTATTTTTTCTAAATTTTTATAGTATTGCCATTCACATTCAAGTATATTATCTGTTTCAAGTTTTTCTGTTTGTATAGTGTGAGGTAAAGGTTGAGGTTTGATAGTTACACAGATGGTAGGTAGGAAGATGGATAGATATCCAATTATTCCAATAATATTTGTTGAAAAGGCTATACATTTCCTGTTGAATTACTTTGACTCCTTTGTCAAGAATCAATTGACTAGGGGTGCCTGGGTGGCTCATTCGTTAAGCGTCTGCCTTCAGCTCAGGTCATGACCCCAGGGTCCTGGGATCGAGCCCAGGATCAGGCTCCCTGCTCTGCGGGAAGCCTGCTTCTCCCTCTCCAACTCCCCCCGCTTGTGTTCCCTCTCTCACTGTGTCTCTCTCTGTCAAATAAATAAATAAAATCTTTAAAAAAAAAAAAATCAATTGACTAAGGATGCCTGGGTGGTTCAGTTGGTTAAGTTCAGTTGGTTAAGTTATATATTGGGTCATGATCCCTGGGTCCTGGGATTGAGTCCCACATTGGGCTCCTTGCTCAGCAGGGAGCCTGCTTCTCCCTCTGCCTGCCACTCCCCCTGCTTGTGCTCTCTCTCTCTCTCTGAAAAATAAATAAATAAAATCTTTTAAAAAGGAAAAAAAAAACTTTCAAAAAAAGAATCAATTGACTATGTGTTTATCTACTTCTGGACTTTGTATTTGGTTCCATTGATCTATATGTCTATTCTTTAACAATACACACTATCTCAACTACTGTTGTTTCATAAAGTCTTTAAATGAGGTCATGTAAAACTTCCAACTTTGTTCATTTTTTTCCCAATTTTTTTTCTTCTACATTCTTCTACATATAAAGTTTAGAATGAGCTTGTCATTTAAAAAAAAAACTTGCTTGGATTTTGACTAGGATTATGTTGAATTTGGGGATAATAATATTGCATCATCTGAATCATAAATATGATCTATATCTCCATTTATTTAGGGTTTTTAAAAATACTGTTCAGTGATTTTTTTCAAATATTTTTTTCAATACAGAGCTAACCCATATTTTAGGTTTAATTCTAAGTTTAACATTTTTGGTCTTATATATACATTGTTTTTTTAAAATTCCATTTTTTAAAAGGTTTTATTTATTGACAGAGAGAGAGAGCACAAGCAGGCTGAGCAGTAGGCAGAGGGAGAGAGAGAAGCAGGCTCTGATGTGGGGCTTAATCCCAGGACCCTGGGATCAGAACCTGAGCTGAAGGCAGATACTTAACTGACTGAGCCACCCAGTTACCCCTAAAATTCAATTTTAAATTGATTTTTATATATGGACTTCGTATTATCATTAATCTGTACTAGTTTTTGCTTTTTTGTTTTTTTTAAGATTTCTTTATAGGGGCGCCTGGGTGGCTCAGTCACTAAGTGTTGCCTTCGGCTCAGGTCATGATCCCAGGGTCCTGGGATCGAGCCCCGCATCGGGCTCCCTGCTCTACGGGAAGCCTGCTTCTCCCTCTCCCACTCCCCCTGCTCGTGTTCCCTCTCTTGCTGTGTCTCTCTCTGTCAAACAAATAAAATCTTAAAAAAAAAAAAATTATTTATTTATTTGAGAGACAACATGAGGGTGGGGGAGCAGAGAGGGAGAGAGAATCCTAAGCAGACTCCTGCTCAGTGTGGAGCCTGACATGGGGCTCAGTCCCAGGTTGAGATCACAACCTGAGCCAAATCCAAGAGTCAGACGCTTAACCAGCTGTGCCACCCAGGTGCCCCTGTACTAATGTTTTTAAGTTTATTTTTTTTAATTTTTATTTGAGAGCGAGAGAGAGCATGAGAGAGAGAGATCATGAGCAGGGGGGAGGGGTAGAGGGAGAAGCAGACTCCCCACTGAGCAGGGAGCCCAATGTGGGACACCATCCCAGGACCCTGGGATCATGACCTGAGCTAAAGGCAGACGCTTAACCTACTGAACCACCCAGGTGCCCTAAATTTATTTTATATATATATATATATATAATTTTATATATATATTATATATGTCATCTTTATACTCAACATGGGGCTCAAACTCATGACTCATGACTCATGACCCCAAGATCAAGAGTAACATACTCTTCTAACTGAGCTAGCCAGGAGCCCCAATCTATATTAGTTTTAAAGCTGCTTTTGTAGATTCCCTAGGATTTTCTACAAACACAATTATGTCCCCTGTGAGTAAAGACCACTTCTTCCTTTCCAATGTATGTGGCTTTTATTTCTTTTTCTTACCTTATTGCACTGACTAGGATCTTCATATAATGTGTCTTAGTCCATTTGGGCTGCTATAACAAAATACCACAGACAAGGTAGCTTAAAATATCAAATTTATTTCTCACAGTTCTGGAGGTTGGAAGTCTGAGATCAACCTGCCAACATAGTCAGGTGAGCCCTCATCCGGGTCACAGAGTTCTTGTATCCTCACATGGTGAAAGGGGCTAGGGAGCTCTGTAGAATCTTTTATAAGATCACTAATCCATTTCATAAGAGCTCTGCCTTTATGACCTAATCACTTCCCAAAGGCCCCACCCATGAATATCATAATATGATGGTATTAGTTAGGATTATAATCTCAAAATATCAATTGGTGGGGGAGGAACACAAACATTCAGACCATAACACAGTGTTAAGTAGGAAGGGGGAAAGCAAACTTTGCCTTATTCCAAACATAGTGAGAAGACATTCAGTCTTTTACCATTTATACATGATTATAGAGTAAGGTTTTTATAAGTGCCCTTTATTGAGTTGAAGAAGTTTCTCTCTATTGCTAATTTGCTTTAATTTTTTTTAACTGGAAATCATTTTTTGTAAAAGATTTTATTTATTTGACAGAGAGACACACAGCAAGAGGGGGAACCCACGCAGGGGGAGTGGGAGAGGGAGAAGCAGGCTTCCCGCAGAGCAGGGAGCCCAATGCAGGGCTCGATCCCAGGACCTGGGATCATGACCTGAGCCGAAGGCAGACGCTTAATGACTGATCCACCCAGGTGCCCCAAACTGGAAATCATTTTTAAAAATATGGAACACTTGGGGCGCCTGGGTGGCTCAGTCAGTTAAACATCCACCTTCAACTCAGGTCATGATCCCAAGGTCCTGGGATTGAGCCTTGCATCGGGCTCCCTGCTCAGAGGGGAGTCTGCTTCTCCCTCTCCCTCGGCCATTCCTCCTGCTTGTGGGCGCACTCTCTCTCTCTATCAAATAAATAAAATCTTTAAAAAAGCATGGAACACTTCACAAATTTGCCTGTCATCCTTGCACAGGGCCATGCTAATCTCTGTATTATTCCAATTTTACTATGTGTGCTGCTGAAGCGAGCACTGCTCTATTTTTTTAAAGCATGAATGCTATTGAAATTTGTCAAAAGTTTTATCTGCCTCTACTGAATCATGTGATCATTTTTTCCTCTCTTCTCCTAGTAACATGGTAAATATCACAGACTGAAGTTTGAATGTTAAACCAACATTCCTGAGATAAATACAGCTTGGTCATAGAATATTAACCTTTTAATTTATTGTTGAACTGGACTTGCTAATATTTTGCAAGATATTTTGCTTCTGTGATCACAAGAGCTTTTATTGGTAGTTTTATTGTTTTTGTGTAGTTTTAGAATCACGGTAATTCTTATTTCTAAAATGAGTAAGAAAGCTTTCATCTTCCTCTATTTTCTAAAAGGATTTATATAGGATTGGTATTCTGTATGTGTTTGGTAGAATTTACTGCTGAAGATATCTAAGCACAAACTTTGCTTTATGGTAATATTTTTCATTATTCAATTTCTTTACTTCATATGGGGCTATTCAGACCATTTCTTCTTGATAATTTGTATCTTTCAAGAAATGTGTCCAGTTCATATAAGTTGTCTAATTATTGATATAAATGTTCATCATATTCCAATACCATCCTTTTAATGTCTGTAGAAACTGTAGTAATGTCCCTTTTTAAATTTCCAATATTGGTAATTTGTTCCTTTCTGTTTTTTATCATTCTGGCTAGAGGCTTATCAATTTTATCAATCTATTCAAGAAATTGGCTTTTGGTTTAATTAATTTCTCTATAGTTGATCTGTTTTCTATTTCATTTATTTCTGCTCTTTATTAAGTTGCCTTCTGCTTTTGATTTAATTTGTTCTTCTAACCTTTAAAAACATTTTTATTGAAATATAACTCACACATCATACAACTCAACAACTTGAAATGTACAAATGGTATCTTTCAGTACATTCATGGAATTGTGTATTCATCATCAGTCAATTTTAGAACATTTTCCTTACCCCAAAAGGAAATTCTACACACCTTAGCCATCACTTCCTGATTACCCAGTCTCCAGGCAACCACTAATCCACTTTTGTTCTCTATAGATTTGCCTATTTTGGACATTTCCTGTATATGGAATCATACAATACTTTGTCCTTGGTGTACATCCGTCTATAAATGAAGTATCAATACTTCATTCCCTCTTGTTCCTGAGTAATACTCCATTGTATGGCTTTTCTAGCTTCTTAAGGTAGAAACTTAGGTTATTAATTTTGGACTTTTCTTTTTCTAATATAGATACTAAGTACTCTAAACTTTCATCTAAGCACTAATTATTTCCATCATACTTACTAAGGGTTTTCTCTATTCTTTCTCTAATTAAATATATTTATTGTATTTTTTATAATGTCCTTTAATATTCTAAGAAAAAAATAATAGGATGAGAAACATGATCTCTGATGTATATATCTCTCAGGCTCAACTGCAATATTCCTTGAAAAAAATTGGTGGAGGGATTTTACTTGTGGAATTTAAAAAATTATTTAAATTCAATTTAGTTAACATATACTGTATTATTAGTTTCAGGGGTAGAATTTAGTGATTCATCAGTTGCATATAACACCCAGTGCTCATTACATCAAGTGCCCTCAATGCCCGTAATCCAGTTATCCCTCCGCCCCCCCCCCCCGCTCCAGCCACCCTCAGTTTGTTTCCTAGAGTTCAGTGTCTCATGGATTGCCTCCCTCTCTATTTTCATCTTATTTTATTTTTCCTTCCTTTGCCCTATGTTCATTTTTTTGTTTCTTAAATTCCACATATGAGTGAAATCATATGGTATTTGTCTTTCTCTGACTGAATTTCTTCAAGAAAATACTTCATCACAATACATTTCTATCAGCTGTTCTTGATCAAATTGCTGAGATCAGGGTTTCTCAACTTTGGTGCTATTGACATTTGGGGCTGATAATTCTTTTCTTTCTTTTGTTCTTTTTTTTTTCCTTCTTTCTCTCCTTCTTTCTGATATAACTGACATACAAGATTATATTAGTTTCAGATGTACAATATAATGATTCAGTATTTGTATATATTGTGAAATAATCATAATAAATCATTAATATCCATCACCAAACAGTTACAATTTTTTTCTTATGAGAACTTTTAAGATTTACTCTCTTAGCAACTTTCAAATATACAATACAGTATTATTAACTATAATTACAAGGGTGTACATTATATCTCCAAGATTTATTTTATAACTGGAAATTTGAACCTTTTGACTACCCTCACCCATTTCACCCACTCCCCCTCCCCCTTCCCTCTGGCAACTACCAATCTGTTCTCTATACTTACGAGTTCAGGTTTTTTTGTTGTTTTATTTTTGTAGAGTCCACAGATAAATAAGATCATACTATTTATCTCTGTCCAGCTTATTTCAGTGAGCATAATGTCCTCCAGGTCCATCCATCTAGTCACAAGTGGCAAAATTTTCTTTTCTATAGTTGAATAGTATTCCATTTTGTGTATACACACACAGAGCCCCCCACATTTTCTTTATCCATTCATTCATTGATGGACACTTAGGTTGCTTCCATGTCTTGGCTATTGTAAATAATACTGCAGTGCACATGGGGGTGCCTATTTATAAGTTGTGCTTTTATTTCCTTTAGATAAATACCCAGAAGTGGAATTACTAGATCATATGGTTGTTCTATTTTTAGTTTTTTGAGGTACTTCCATACTGTTTTCCATAGTAGCTGCACTGTAAATACATTGATTTTAAAACTATTTTGGTATTTCACTATAAAGATTAAAAGTTAATTTTCCTGTAAATGCTATTGTTTCCCACAACATTCACTGTCTTTCATATCTAACTATTTCATAATTTCCTTTCTGGTATCTGAAGCTCATTGTCTAGATTTTTTTGGAAGGGATCATAAGAACATAGAAGTTCCTACATGTTCATCGATTTGTGCCCTTTATACTTGAAGGTTAGTTATGCCAGATATAAAATTTTTTGTTCACATTTTCTTTCCTTGGCTATCTTAAATATCTGTGTTCTTCTGGGATAAAAGTGTTGCTGTCAATATCTGATCATGATATAATTTTCTCTCTAAGTCATGTGGACTTTTTGCCAAAATGCTCAAAGAAATTTTCTCCCTCTTTAAAATCTGGTAATTTACAAGAATGTATTGGTGTTGGTCATTTTGACTCACTATTCACAGATACACAATGTTCTTTTTCTTTTTTTTTTTTTTTAAGATTTTATTTATTTGAGACAGAATGAGAGAGACAGAGAGCATGAGAGGGAGGAGGGTCAGAGGGAGAAGCAGACTCCCTGCTGAGCAGGGAGCCCGATGCGGGACTCGATCCCGGGACTCCAGGATCATGACCTGAGCCAAAGGCAGTCGCTTAACCAACTGAGCCACTCAGGCGCCCCACAATGTTCTTTTTCAATATATAGTTTTAAATATTTTAAAGAAAGTGTGTGTCAGTCCCAGCCTATTGGTAGTGATGCTGTCACCAAGGAATGCCTGAGACACTTGCCTGGGCCCATGTTAGTTGTGGCAAACTCCAATAGACATTTCCTAGACTGGAGCCAAAGTTGGTGCTAGACCATTCCTTGTCATTCTTATTATGATTGCAGGGCACACCTCAGCAAAAGCCATCAGAGACTTAGAAGAACAAAATTTATTACTGGCAGATTCTGAAGGATGCAGGGCATGTCTGAGGGTTACATGGCAAAATCACAGATAGAATGGGCAGGAGCACAGACCTGAGCTCTGTCTTTATTAGGGTCTGAGGGTGGTGTGCCTAAGGTTTCATGGGTTCATTTTTTTTTTTAAGATTTTATTTATTTATTTGACAGAGAGAGACAGCAAGAGAGGGAACACAAGCAGGGGGAGTGGGGGAGGGAGAAGAAGGCTTCCTGCAGAGGAAGGAGCCCAATGAGGGGCTCTATCCCAGGACCCTGGAATCATGACCTGAGCAGAAGGCAGACGCTTAACGACTGAGCCACCCAGGTGCCCCTCATGGGTTCATTCTTTATTGGCAAATTCAAACATAAGAGTAGAAATTAGTGCATGGGAGGGGTGCCTGGGTGGCTCAGTCCTTAAGTGTCTGCCTTCAGCTCAGGTCATGATCCCAGGGTCTGGGGATCGAGCCCTGTATCCTGCTCCCTGCTCAGCGGGGAGCCTGCTTCTCCCTCCCCCACTCCCCCTGCTTGTGTTCCCTCTCTCGCTGTGTCTCTCTCTGTCAAATAAATTCTTAAAAAAAAAAAAAAAAAAGGAAGAAAGAAAGAAAGAAAAGAAATTAGTGCATGGGAAGGGAAAAATAGGGACACTCAACTGTTCAGTTATCCAGGTTACAGAGGAATTTCTAAAAGAGGAACTTCATGGGTGGGGACAGCCTGGTTCCTTATCCAGCTGTTTTGCTTATAGCTGCATTATACAGTTGGCAATATCTTTGTTGGAGATGGATGTCTTTGAAATGCATGCCTTGGCAATCAAAGGCTTAATGTCAAGCAGTTATATTACAATCAAAAACGTAATGACAGACACTTAAAGTACAGAAAGTTTTCTTGAAATACAATTTTTTAAAAGATTTTATTTATTTATTTGACAGAGAGAGACACAGCAAGAGAGGGAACACAAGCAGGGGGAGTGGGAGAGGGAGAAGCAGGCCTCCCGCCCAGCAGTGAGCCCGATGTGGGGCTCGATCCCAGGACCCTGGGATCATGACCTGAGCCGAAGGCAGACGCTTAATGCCCTGAGCCACCCAGGCACCCCTTGAAATACAATTTTTAATCACTATTCTCTTCACTTTGTTTTGTTATTTATTTAGGAATTCCTATGATCACTATGTTAGATCTTCTTTGCTTATTTTCAATGTCATTTTCTTTTTAATTCTTTTATTTTAAAAATTGTCCTCCTTTAAAAAAAATTTTTTTTAAGATTTTATTTATTTATTTGAGAGAGAGAGTGAGAGAGAGAGCACAAGAGGGAGAAGCAGACTCCCCGCCAAGCAGGGAGCCCGATGCGGGACTCGATCCCTGGACTCCAGGATCAT